AGACAGTGTGGCGGTTTCTGAAAGAACTAGAAATTGACCTTCTATATGATCCAGCAATTCTCCTATTGGAAATATACCCGGAGGAACTCAAATCATTATACAAAAAAGATACCTGCACACGTATGTTTGTTGCAGCTCTATTCACAATAGCAAAACATGGAACCAACCGTGCTCCCCATCGAAGCTGAATTGGATAAATAAAAATGTGGTACATATACACAATGGAACATTATGCAGCCATAAAGAAAGACAAAAATATGGACTTCGCAGCAACTTGGAAGAATTTGGAGTCGACCATACTCAGTAGTCTATCACAGAACCAAAGAACAGAGTGCCATATGTTCTCACTCATAAGCAGACCTTGAACAATTATAATACTGTATGAAAGGGATTGGAGTAGTGGGAGACTGTCAGGGGCGTGGGGTGGGATTGGCAGTTGAGGGAAACTGCTAGGGGAGGAAGGGGCATACCTCATCAACAAGGGTACCCACATAATAAACATTTGTATACCTAACCCTGAATTGTACCCCACATTGTTATAATAAAAACAAATGAATAAATAAAAAATTTAAAAAGTTTTTAAAAAAGCCACTAGATGAAAAATGACCCATTATTCTAATTTCTGAAGAAAAATTCATTTTTCTATTATGTATATATAATAAATAGATACTGTGTATATATTGTTATTTTGTATGTCAACATGACAATATATGTATATCAGGGAAAAAAAAAAGCAATCTGCTGAATCACATTTGAAATACCCTCCCTCCCTTCCAGCATATACACACCCACTGCAGATCTTATGTTGGGACAAGCTATATAAAGAGTCAAAGCAGAATGAAGCAAAAGTGAAACAAGACAAGACAAAAATCTTCAGTAGGCTCTCCGCTTCACTCATATGGTCAGAATCACCTAAATGCAGAATTAATGGACATCTAAATGACCACCATTATAGATTGTACACCCACATACCTACAGTTAAAAATGGAAAGTTCAGGTTGTACATTTCTTTGTTTTTATTTTAGAAATAAGTTATTGTAACTTGACCAAGAGTCACATGCTTTGTCTATAATTTCAGTCCACAGATATATTTAATTTGGGCACAATGTTTTTTTTAACTTAATTTTAAATATTTTGAGAAATTACGTGCAGTTTCCAGTTTTACACAGTACTCACCACTCCCTGTCTTGCTTCCTTTGCATCACACATTCTCTTTATCAGCTTTGCTCCCCTATGCATTGGGGTTTGAAATCTTTTCTTAACCATAGAAATGTGGGTGGTCATAGGATGATTTTCTTCATAGATTTGCTATATGAATATACAATACACATATTTTACATTGAGACTTAACTTCTGACACAGTCTTTGTTCTCTAATTATATTTATACTAATACCACTCCTTTTTTTTATTATTATTTTTGAGTCCCAACCACTTACATTATATTCCCTCTTGAATTTCTATACATTTAATTATTAATGTCCCCTTGGTCAAAGGTAGAGATGAGTGAAGAAGCAAAGGGCTTTCTTAAAGCTGATATTTTTGGTAGATTTCTTGGAGATGCTTTCAAAAAGAATGAAGATCTGCTTCTCTGACTCTGTGTGTGTGTGTGTGTGTGTGTGTGTGTGTGTGTGTGTGTGTGTGTGTGTGTGTATTTACGCAGGTGCATGCACATACACATACAGATGATAAGGGCTTGAGCTTTGAATTGTTCAGAGGAGTAATAGGCAAGTTGCTGTCCTCTTGAACCTCAGTTTCCTTATCTATAAAATGCAAGTAATATACCTACTTTGCATGATCAGTGTGAGGTTTTGATTTTTAAAAAATTAGATAAAAATGCCCCGCACAGGTTAGAAATCCAGGATATATAGGATTCTTTTTTCTTTCCTTTCATTCTTCTCAGGAAGTTGGATTGAATAGAGACACAACCAGTGATAACAAAGTATATAAAAGAATTTCTGATGAGAATGTCAGAGAAAGGTTGCAATAAAAATGTACTCTCACCAACAAAAGCTCATAAAACTGCCACACAATGTCAGTATGCTTCATGATATATAAATTTCTGTATGTGTTTCTGTATGTGTTCATGCACATATGTGGCACATATGTAGTAGTGTATGTGTGCACATGTCCATGTGTTGTGTGTGAATTAATGTGTGTTTTTGTATGTGAGTATGCTTGTATGTTCGTCTGTGTGTGCTATGTGCACAGAAAGAAACAGAGCTAGAGGAAGAAGATACATTGCACCAGATATTTGATGGCAACCCTTATTCAGTATATTGTAACTCATGGTATATAAAATAAAATCTATTTATGATGTTGGTCTTATCTTCTAATTAAAATCATAGGCATGAAGCTTTTTTATACCTGCATAAAATAAGCAGATTAATTTTTCTGTGCCAGGGGAAAAATAATTTCATTGCCTGTTATGTAGACCATCAGTACATGATATGAAGTGAGCAAGGCCAGTTTTGCATGCCTCATTCTTACCCAATGTGTTTATCCTCTTAAACTAAGCAAACATCATGGTTGCCTCCCCTGAGGTTTTTCCAAGGGCAGCTGTGGTGCTTTTACCAGTTTCCCCTGCCTCTTCAAAGTGACGTGAGGGAAGGAAGTTATTCTATGATTAACCCATCTAAGAGTGTTTACATGGATTATTCATGCATGAATGAAAAAAATTATTACATTGCATCAATTTCTTAACAATTTGCTGATAGTTAGTGATGGCTTATTTCAATGAAATCAAGGCAAATATTTGAGAAAAGAAAGTAAGCTTGTCTTAGAAACTGTAAAGGAATATAAGAGGGAAATGACTATGAATTTTAGCAGCTAAAGGACCTAAAGTTGTCTTAAAGCTTACTTTATAATACTAATATAGGATCTGGGTAACATTTAAAAAATTCTGGTAGTTAACAGTTTTAGTTTATAAGGTATAGAAATATTTCTGGCTATATTTTGTATTTTGGGCCTTATGATTCAAACCACATGATAAAAGTAGTACTAAACATTGGTGTAAGACACGCAAGGATAGGAAAAACTGTAAGCGGAAATACACTCATTTGTTCATTCAGTCGCTCAGCAAATGCTAGGAACTCAAAGAATAAAGGATAATGAAGTTCAAAAGTGCTGTACTGATGATGAAGCTGGAGACAAGCAGGGGACAGATTTTCCAGGCTGCTTTAAGGATTTTGAAATACAGTAAGATCCATGATAAACCATTGAATGGTTTTAAGTTGTATAATGCCAGACTCAAATTTGTATTATGGGATAATTTTTATGACCACAGTGTGCAAAATGGATTGGAAGGGACAAGGCTGAAGTGGTGAGGCTGGCTAGGGGTGTGTTACAGTAATACAGTAGAGAGGTTATCAAGTCTTGGACTAAGGCAATCTTAATAGGTGGCAGAGAAAATGAATTTGATGTTAGAGTTAATCGAAAGGTAAAATACACAGGACTGAGAGACTTATCACCTTTAAGGAAGTGTGTGAGAAAGAGGAATTAGGGATGAATTTTGGGCTTTTTGCTCCTCATGGATGATTAGTAGAAACACTCACTGAGCCAGGGGACACTAAGGAAACAATAGGACTGGGATCAGGTACCACTGTGAAACATCATGAGTTCAAGGTGCTTGTGAGACATCCAAATAGAAGAATCTTCCAGGCAGCAGGATTTTTAAATCTGAAACTGAGTCTCAGAGATTTAATTTATGAGTTGTCTACAGGAAGATGGCAATTAAAAAAAAAAAGAAAAAAATCCACTGGATAACAGTAAATTGAGTGAAATGAGAAAGAAGTCAAAGCAGAGGGTTGAGAAGTGATTGCATTTAAAAGATAATCAGAGAAAACTGAGTATCCAAAAGAAATGAAAACCAGATGAATATGGCATTATAGAAACCCCTGAAAGAATTTGTGTCAGGAAGCATGGAATTGTCAGTAGTATTAAACGCTGCTAAGAATTTAACTAAGGGAAAAGTCTGAGGGTGTAAGTGTCTATTGGGTTTAAGCACTAAAAAGTCAATCATATCCTTAGTGAGACCAATGTCATCAAAGTACCACGAGTAGAAACCAGATTGCACTGGCTAGAGGGGGCAATTTAAATTGTAATCATAGCTATCACTTGTCAGGAGTACACATTATGCCATGTGCTCAAAGCCAATTTGGGTATCATCAGACTCAAGCTATTGTTAAGGAAACTGAAGCCTCTAGAGGTTAGGTGACTTTCCCAAGGGACACAATATTGACAGAGAACTGTTGAGATTTGACCTTTTTCTCTTGGATGCCAAAAATCTTTTCACTACTTCCTTTATGTTCTTTTTACTTGTGGATGATAAACCTTCTGCAGCAGTATTATTTGCCCAGGAATTTTTGGGGAGATATATATACACACACATATATGTATTTATCCCCCTCCAAAAAATATGTATGTAAACACACAAATATATATGTATATATATTTGTTTTTCTAAATATATATATAATGTTTGTCCAAGGATTTGGGGAGATATATATGTATATAATATATAATCTTGGGCAAATATTATATATATGTGTGTGTGTATATATATAAGTATAAATAATTTGGAAAAAACAATGATGACAGGGAAGGGGAATAGGAGGGCCTCCCATAACTAAAAAACAAATCTGGGATGGAGAGTAACATGGAGAACTGAGAGAAAAAGAGAGAGAGGTATAACTGTCCCAAGGTCAGGGCACAGAGGTCATATGTTCCCAATACCTAAAAGATGGATGTCAAAAATGCGACCTCCTTCTGTATGCAGACTTAGCCTTGCATACAGAAGGCTTTTTGAGTCTTTTTCAACTCAATTCAGCAATGAGGGACTAAATCAGGAAGAAAAAATAATACCAATATTTTATGCAGAAATCTCGATGTCCCTTTTTGTGCTGTGATACACAAATAAAGATGACTCTATGTTTATGTTTCAATTTCTTGTATTCATTTTCTCCCACTACAATCTGCATTTTCTCCTCTGTGCCTTCGTTAGATCATGCTTCTCAGTGATCCTGAAATGGAGAGCAGCATATTGATCAGCTCAGATGAAGGTGCAACCTATCAAAAGTATCGGCTCACCTTCTACATCCAGAGCCTGCTCTTTCACCCCAAGCAAGAGGACTGGGTGCTGGCCTACAGTTTGGATCAAAAGGTAAAACACTCATTTCTTTCACATCTTGTCACCTAGGTACCACCCTGTGTAAAGCACTGGTTTGCTCAATCCAAATTTTGGAGGGGACTCATTGACATTTCATCATTCCAGCCAAAATCACTTTATCATTGATTTTATCTGAAATAACTAACTTTCTTATCCTTTTTACTCTTAAGTATCAAAAAAAAAATATGTAGGCAGGTATATTTTAATTATTGACAATATTGTTTATCATTTCACACTTTAAAATGGCTTTCTCTATAATTTTACTCATCTGACCTTATTTAAAACAATGCTGTGAGATAAGTAGGGCATATGTAATTATAATAATTTTATAATAAACAAAGGTGCAGAAAGACTAAGGTGCTTGTTTAAACCCTCCATGCTAGTAGCTGGAGGAGTCAGAATTTAAGTGCATGTTGTCAGATTCCAAGTACAGTGCATATTTCGCCACACTATGCTGCCTTGTTTTGGTGAAACACACTGTTAATTTGGAATATACTGTTGCTCTCAGTTGAACGAAGGAAGGGACACTTCAAACAAGTTCATTTTTGTTATTTTCTGAAATTGCATTAAATATATAGTAGCTCAATAAGACTTCCTCTTTGAATTTCAAATCCATATATTCATTTATGTATTTGACATTGTCTCTTGTATGCCTCAAAAGCCTGTTGACTCAACATATTCCAGAAAATGAAGTCCTAATCTCTCACAAACCAAATGACTCTCTTATAGTATTCCCTAATTCTATCCATGTAGTTGCAAAATCAGAAACTAAGAGGATGTCTTTGATATTATCTCTAAGTAGCCCTTGATTATATTCACTTCTTTCTGTTACAACCACCACTCAAATGTAAGTTACATCTGTCCTCTGAACTATTACCAGAGTCTCTTCCAATGTGTTCACACTCAAACTTGAAAAATGTTTCCCAAATATTTTTTATGCCTTGGCTTAAACCCCTTTAGCATTTTCTCGTTGTTCACCGACTAAAGACCATAGTCCTCAATAGAGGCTGCCACCCTCTGCCTGGCCCAGTCCCTCCTTTTCTCTCCTGGTCCACTGTTACCACTTCTGTTGGATGACCTTTAAGTTGTCTTGCTAGCTTTCCCCTTGCTCCTTTTCCTGTGCCTGGAATCCTCTTCCCTCATCATCTTTGGACTTCAGATCTAGCATCACTTCCTCAGAATACCTCCCTCCCTTAAATTCCCTAACAAAATCAAGTCCCTTTTGGTGTTGTTTTGCATAGTATTTACTTTGGACCTTTCCTTCAGAGCACCTGTCACAGTTGAGATTTTACTTTTCTTTGTGTGACGTTTGGGACATCTACTTTCTTCACTAGAATACAAGCTGTAGAAAGGCAGGGTAATATCTGCCTTTACTCATGGTTGTAGCATCGGTGCCTAGCATAGTACCTAGAATCAGTACTCAGTGTATGTCTGTTAGATAAATGGGTTAGTCGATGAATGCTTAAATGCTGTAATAACAAACCCTCTATTTCTGATCAACTTTTACTTAAGTAAAGGACTTTATATTATTCTTTGTATTTCCTTTCATCTCTAGAACCTTAGTACAGTGCTTGATGCCAAAATATTGTGTAATAAAGTTGTGAAATCAATCAGTAAAAGTAAATTGATAATTATAAGCGATGACTTACATAGAGATATCTGCAAAATAACCTCAGTTGAAATAGCTTCTTTATTCTTCTCTCTTAAATCTTGAAACAGTTGCTTTCAGTTGAATGTATTTGAATATGTGATTGTGATTGTGAATTTTGCACATGTGTGATGTCAGCACCTTTAAACAATAATTTCAGCATAACCTTTATGTGTCTCATTAACAGAGCCTCATGGTGGGTGCCAGGCGCTTAATGCAATCCCCCAAGGACACCCGCATGACATTTGCAGAGCAAAAGCCATTGCAAATACATTTATTTCATGGCATCAAGTAGATATTGTATGAAAGACTTAGCCAAATGTCAGATAGTCTGTGAGTTTAGATGCTTAGTATAACCAGAAATTTTGAAGCTGTGTAAATTATTTTGATGTTGTTAAATGGTTAGATGGTAATTTATTTAGATAAAGTTCAGAACTCTTAAGGCATATTTTTGTTTATTTATGTAGAGACAAGTTAGGTTAGAAGCAACAAACTTCTCATACCAAGAGATGGATAAAACAAGAGCAATATGTTTCATGTGTATCCGGGGGAACCCTTTTTCTCCATCTCCACAGCACTGAGGACATCTGGGGCATTACTCCTGAAGTACCCTTGTAGATATAATGCAATCAAAATACTTTCAGACTCAGTGGCTGCTTTTTCACTTCGTAAAAATATTTGGAAATGTGGCAGTGGATGTTGATGGATTTTCCTAATCACACTGCACATATCTAGATGTGTTATTCCTTAGGTCCTCTGTCTTGTTGACATCTTTTTCATAAAGTAGCTAGATGTTCTTCAGGTCCATAAAGTTTCTAACCAGTGCCCGGATATTTTTCTTTTAAATAAATGATGTGCAAAGGCAGTTGATGCCCCTGGCAACACTTGCAGAAATGGTATAATACATCGAGCCCCAGTCATCTATGTTACAAAAAGATTTTTTTTTTAAATTTTGGGGGTAATTTAGTGGTTTAGAGTCCAGGAGAGTGATGCTATGCATTAGCAAATGAAAATGCAAGTGTAGTTCAGATTGAGATACAAATGTGTTATTTCAGACTAGAGCCTTCTCTGAAATGCATGCATTGAAACAGCTGTTTGCTTCTAGAGAAAATGAAAAGTGCTAGTATGAAGGTAACTGCAGCATCAAAGGCAGATATTTGTGGTGAGGAGGGAATTGATGTTTCCATTATTGTATCTTTGATGAAATGCACTAGCAATTTCTTTAGAGTTGGTAAGGCTATCTCATTATGTTGTATGTATTACAAAAGACTTAATCGAATGATATTTTAAAGGGACAATATCTAATTGCTTTACTTTCACAAATACTACCCCAAAGCTACAGGAGATTTGCCAGAAGATCTTAGTATAAGCACTGCTAGAGAATTAGGAAAATACCTTCTGGATGAAATAAAATTACATCTAGAAATTGAGAGATGCACATAAGGTTTTGCTAGTTGAGATACTGTATGATAGGTTGTGAGTTAACTCCCCAGTCACACATTGATCTGACACTGGTCAAGGCCTGGTTGTGGGGGAAGATGGTTCAAGTCTTCAGAAGCTGTGAAGGGACATGTGGCAAATGTCCTACAATCTTGATGTATTCTAGCCTACTAAAGACCTTTCAGATTTCTAATGACCTTGACTTGGGCTTTTGACCCATTCGTTTTATTCCGTCCATCCCATGAGTTACCCAATTCTTGCTAACTCCTGTGGCAGTGCCTCCTCCATCCTACAATTCACATGAGAATATAAATGAAGGGCACAGCTTCACTTGTATCCAGCATTCCAAAAGTACAAATTTAAATTTGTATTTTAATATAAAAGAATTCAGTACTTAGTAAAGACAAGACATTCATTCTTGGAGATATTTGAAAAGAATATTTGAAAGAATCTTCTAAAAACCCAGTGGAAGTTACAGGCTATGATTAACCAAGTTGGAAATGATAAGAGGAAAACTATTTCCCTTCCCTCATCTTAGAGCCAAAGCTCTATAACTTATTTTGAGGGCTTTGTGTTTATCAGTTATTTAAGTGGTTGGATTCTCTTTTGTTTTCATCAGGCTATTTCCTCACTGATGACTATAACAGCTTATATTGTGATGTTTTTAGATTAGCTGGAGGGCTTGATAGTCTTATTAAAACTGAGAATTTTTGAAAGATTTTGAGATGGATTTTGAAGACAATGCAATCCTAGAAATATATAGTTGCTATTCTCATTGCTGTAGAAAGCTGAATGTTTAAACATTTCTCATTTTGACAAGAGACTCAATGTAGCTTTTTTTTTTTTTAATGGGCACATGCTCATGTATTCACAGATGCATACATTCTGACACAGGGGGCCTTCTGTAGGAGATAGAGAGCTGAAAATAACTATTTTTTTCTGCATGAGAGGTGGGATTGCAGAATTCTCTATTACTGTTTCTCTTCTTGGCAACATTAGTCTTTAACAAGTACAACTGACTTTGGAGACCAGAGATGAGGCACTCAATGGGATTTCAGACTCCATTGTTTCCAGACACTCTGGGCCAGATTGCTCTGGAATTGCCAGTAATTTTGATGTAAAAAGCACTTTCTTAAACACTAGTACACAAAATGAAAGGTTGTTGTTATGGTAGTTGAGGGGTAGGCATACAGCAGCCAAGGATTTTTGTTTACCACCTCCTACTAGCTGTGTTCAGTAGTAGTTGACAGATAGACTGGTTAAGAAGCTGATGCAGGCCAGATACAGTGGCTCAGCCTGTAATCCCAGCACTTTGGTAGGCTAGCGTGGGAGGATTGCCTGAGCTCAGGGGTTCGAGACCAGCCTGGGCAACTTGGTGAGGCCTCATCTCTACAATAAATCAAAAAACAAGCCGGACTTTGTATCGTGCACCTGTAGTTCCAGCTACTTGGAAGGCTGAGGCAGAAGGATTGCCTGAACCCAGCAGGTCAAGGCCACGGTGGCCATGAGCATGCCACTGCACTCCAGCCTGGGTGACAGAGTGAGACCCTGACCCAGAAAAATAAAATAAAAAAGAAGAAGCTGATATAGTGTTAGGCATGGTGATTGCTGCAAGGCCTGAAAAGAGGTCGTGGTAGTCCCACACAGGTTTTGCCAGTTGGATCATGCCTAAGGCTGCCACATTATGAGCAACCTCAAGTATGAGTGTGGAGGGCCTGAACATTCAAAAAGAAATTTTTGTAAATTTGTACTTTTGGAATGCTGGATAAAAGTGAAGCTGTGTGCTTCATTTATATTCTCATTTGAAACCTCAGATTAAAGTTGTAATTGTGTTTAGATCCTCCAGGATTAGTAGGTGATGATAACTTTCTCAGTAGCCATTGGCAGAAAGCTGCTTCCTGTCGCC